AAGTTTTTGCGGTAATGGCGCTCTGGGACGCCGACGGGTGGACTGATGGACTGTCACGGGGAGGGTGGAAATGGGCGGTACGATGGGATTGTCCCTCGCATTCTAGTATCCCGGCATCCTGGCACTTCGGGCACTTGAAGGAGCAAGAACAGCAGCCCATTAGACGAGTGCGTATTACTTATGTAGCCTGTTAACTTGCCTCTCGATTGTTTGCCCTTTTCCCGCAGCAGCTACAAATATACGTATTCCGTATATATTTTTCTTCTCTTGCCTCCGCTCGTGGAATAATTTTAATTGAAATTACGAAAAAGCAAAATTACACGCCGCCCCCCTAAAAACCCAAAAACCAGCAGCCAAAAGGGCGGTTTATATATATCTATGTCTGGGATAGTAGTAGGGCCTAGTCCATAGACTCTCATCGCGCCTGAATTATCATTTTAAATCATTTTGTGTGCGACCACAAAAGTATGCAAATAAAATGCCGCAATACATTTGTCGGGCCATTTACAGGGTACCACAAAATGGGAGTGACCAGCATATAAGCCACCAATATCCGCTCATGGCGCCGCCGACTGCATATTTGTTTTCTGCGGCAAAAGGGCAAACACTTTGGGATTTCCATTTTTACAATCAAGTGCCGGGCTGCCGAAATTGTTCATTAGAAAATTTTGTAATCGTTCTTTTTGGAATTTTGTATGAATCTATAGTGAATAATATTATTAGGTACGGATAATTTGTTTTTTTATCCTTACTTAATTAAATTTGAAACTTTAAATTCTTTTTATTCTCTTACATATTTTTTAAATATATTTACCTAAACTATTTTGCTTTTTTTTATGGCCTAAGCAAGCCGTTTGTTTAACCATGAACTTCTTCTTCGCATCCTCCATTTGTTTTTTTTTTAGAATACCCGTAGTTCCGTTGGATGTCCGTTAGTACCACTGTCCGTTTTGTCCGTTTGTCCGTTTGTCTGCGCTCTTCCATCTTGTTCTTTGTTTTTATACGGCCGCTTTGTTTTTGTTTTGCTTTTATTATGAAAATTATTTCGTGCATTTCTGGCCTATAAAGCGAGCGAGCCGGGCCGTAAAAAAAGCGGCACTCGGAATGAAAATCGCATGGCAACTAGACCAGGGACCAGAGATCGTTTCACTGCGGAAAAAACGCAAAAAAAAACGAGGGAAAAAGGAACAACTCGAAGCTGAATAGAAAAAATGTATCACAAAATGGAAAGATAAAAATAAAATTAGTTTTAATAAAGTCAAAAAGCCACAGGAAGCGTGCTGCTGGGGAAGATGCCACAATGGAAGTTAAATTTGAAAAGCAAATGAAAGGCAAATGAAATTAAATGTGGGCGATGCGATGGTGAAAAACACACGCAGGAATTAAAAAGGAAAAACTAGGAAAAAATAGCGACGGGGGCACAGGACTGCGGGATATTATTATTAAACAATAGCCCGGCATTATGAATGCGAATTACGTTGTCCTGGCGATGCTAAAAATTATGTGTTTGAGGTTCAGGGCAAAAAACGGCGACAGAGAGCTCTTCATTTTTGATTCACTTTTGTGACTAAAAACTTAATAAATGTGATTTCCACAACTCCCACTGCCAGGAACGAAATGCAATCTCTTAAAAGCAATCAGAGTTGTAACAATAGCTTTTAAATACTAAGAATTGCACAATGTTCATTTAAACTTTAGCCCAAAGCCAATAGCAAAAATGTTATCGAATTTCGAAGCCCAATAAATTGTAAGTTCGGTTCCCAAGAAATGGCAGTCATTTCAAAATACAAAAAGTTTCGCCCAAAGAACAGAGCACCACTCATAAGCAGCTTAAAAAGGCAGAGCATTGGGCAGCAAATGGCAGTCTGTCCTGGCTAGAGAGGAATTTAATTTAAATAGCAGAAAGTATGCCACAAAAACTAAGCGAAAGGGATGGCTAGATTAAAACGAACAGAGCCGACAGAGAAAAAGAACCCCAAAAAGTGTCACGCTTTAAAGACTTTTGTCTCGAATATCCCCAAAGTGATTCTGGGGCCAATCGATAAAGCACAAGTCTCAAGGAGTCTCAAACGATGATTCCCTGATTAAACTTAAAGTGTTTACAGCGAGATTTGGGAATTTTTCCCGATTTTTCCAGGCCTTGAAACACAGAGAGAAAAACACAGGCTACCATTTAATATTAGAGCTCTTTCGATTTTTAAAGCGATTTAATTGATTATTTTGGATTACAAAATCGATTTCTTATTTAGAGAAGCGATGCATCGTTTTAAACTTAATTAAAATCTAAGTTTGTTTTTTCTTCTCCATTTTTTAAGTCGTATTCCTTTTGTTCTTAATTTTTTGTTTGTTTCCTCTTTTATATCGATTTAATCGATCTTTTTAAGAATTAAATCGATAAGAATCGTTTCGCTTACAGTTCATTTCAATATGTATGAAACTCTTTATCACACATCCCATCATCGATTGTCTTTCTGTCTGCCAAATGTGAATGACCGACTTGGAGCGCTTGTTTGAGAGGAACGGTTACGAGTATGAGTTAGTGGATGAGACTAACTAACCGAAGCCTCTGCGGACGGACTGTGGACCCTCTTGTTCACATATTTGTATATAACTAACTAGCTGGGCACACACCGCCGCACACATCAAGTCCATGGAGTGCTCCACAAATAAGGAGGGAGCCATCATTCCGTTAACCGTTGTTGTTTTCCTTTCCATTCGTTTCGTTTTGTTTCGTTACGCCTCTGAGCTCGTAGTTCTGAGTTCTGAGTCTCCCAGCATCCTTTGCGCCCTCCTGCACTCAAAAAATCCCAAATCTTTTATATAAAAAATGCAGTTTGAGATTTATGAGATTTAACAGAAGTTATTAGTGGAGTTAAGTTAGGTTTGAAAGTTCAATTTTTCACCATTTTCGAATGTACAAATTAAAACGACCAAGATTAAAAAGAAATAATGAATATAGACTATCTAATCTTATATCTAATACATCGGATATTATGTAGATATAATGTAGACATAATTCAGATATCGAATATCTTTCTCCAAGTGTAGGCCCATTTTTTCGACGTTCTTCGTGTTATTTCTGGTCTTGTTTACCCAAACTATTCTTGTTTTCCCAAAGCCATTTGTTTTGTGTGTGCGTATGCTTTGTTACACTTCATATTCGCTGGCATTTGTCTATGACGGCAGCGATGTCCAAATTGAATGACCGCCATTCGATTTGGCCTGTGACGGGATCGGGAAGGAGATGTCAGGCTGAAACAGAGTTACCCTAATAAGACACCACTGCCACAACAAGTTCTCAAAAGTCCAGAAAGAAGCTGGAAATGAATAGCACGACAAATCCGCAGCCGTGCCAAAAGCAGTCGACATCATCGTCTAGTCAAGTGTCAGAAGCCGATTACACACGGCGAAATCCCTAACTAGCTGCAGTTTAATGCAGTTAATTTGTATGAAAAGTCGAAACCTAGTACTTTATATTTTTATCAGTATTTTCTGGTATCCTGTAGCATAATCCAGTATTTTTACATTTTATAATGTTTTCCTCCTCTTACCTTTTCATAGAGTAACTTATAGGGTTGCCTAGATATTGCCCCTTGTGAAGATTGCTCCCTTAATGGCCGCCCTGAAATGGGTTTATAATATTTTAGGAAATAAAGTCCATTAAGTTGAATAGTTTCTGCTAATTTCAACATCACATTTTTGTTATAGTGCAGACAAACGAGCACTTGTCTAGCGAACACTATGAAAAATTACGGAGTCTCAGCTGTTTAATCAGCTTTCAGCCCTGGCCTTTTTCGCTCTGTGTACCGTTGAATGGGTGCTTGGCATTTATGGTGTGACTGCTCGGGCAAAAAACTTTGTGCAACAATGGACCGAGTCGAGTTGAGTCCGCAAACTGGGGGCGAGGAGAACGGCCAAGTCCTGGCCATTTTGACTGCAGCACAAGCTGCTCCTGCTCCTGCGATTGTTGGCGGATTTAACGCAGTTCGCTTTATGGCCCGCCAGTTGACTGCCGGAGTCAGGTTTCAGCCTTGTCCGCTGTCGTCCTCCTGCACGGAGAGAAAAATACCAGATGAAAAAGAAGAAATATATAAATGCATAGGGTGAAAACATATCTGTACCTTTGAATGCGACGATAGTGCCGTAAAGAATCAGATATTTGGAATGCTTGGAACAAAAATGCCCTTGGTTGCATCTAGTACTTACTAGTATAATCTAGTAGTTATATATTGTATAGTGTTTGCGTCGCCTTCTAGAATTAATCCATCAGCCTTTCAGATCCAAAATGTTCCGTTGCATTCTTTTAGACACCTTTATAATAGATAATTTTACTAGTATTTTCTAGTATCATGTATTTATTAGTATAATCTAGTATTTTTGTGAATTTAAATGTTTGGAATAAAACTATCGGCCTTTTCAAAACATTTCGTTGCATTCTTCTCGATACCTTTTTATTAGAGATTTCAGCGCAATTGTTTCTCCCAGTGTGATTATGGCTATTGCCGGTGGCCCAAGACGCCGAGGCGATGGCGAATCGGATTGGATCGGAACTGCTTAAGCTGAAACGGCTCTCAGTGGGCATTACGCTCCTCGTCGCCCAGTTCTCGCCGTCAGATGCAGTTAAGTATACAATTATTAATAGCTGCACTGCTACTGCTACTGCTTTTGCTCTCTGGCCCCATTTACTGCTCAAACATGAATCTAAAGCGATTCGAAGCTTTAACCACTTTTGCCTTTTCTCAGATAACATTTCTGGCAATATTCTCCAAAAACCTGAGATCTCAATTAAAAAGCCAATTTTTTATTGCACACTTTGTGAATACCCACCTATTTAATTTTTTTTTAAACTAGGTATTTCTTAATTTGAATAGAAGGATTGCCACCCGATTCCTGTTATTTTCCCAAGCACAACCTTTGGTCAGACTGGCGATTACAAAATCTTTTTCTTTTGATATTCAACGAGAGCCTACGATTCTACGATTATTTATTAAACGTCAATAATGTCTGAAACGGTTATGGCTGGCATTTTACTTGCAAATGGCCCGACTCGCCTGAAGAGCAGGATCCTTGTGCGAAACCTTCCGCCGAATTGCAGCCGCGTAGAGCTGGCTAAAGTGTGCGAATGTTTTGGCAAAATTCTTGGCTCGCGGATCGATGGAACCGAGGGCTTTGTTCAGTTTGCCAGCGAGAGTGAGGCCGAGAACGCCATCGAGGCACTGGACAAATCCTACTTCAAATCGCACCTCCTCGATGTCTCGAATGCAAGCTACCGATCCCAAAAGGAAAGAACCCAAGACCTACCCCTAGCGCTAAGTTTAAAGAGTGCGAATGCGAGGCATCTCTAGAGCGTATTTATGGAGAGAAGGACAAAGACCAGAACCAGTAGACCTCCAGTGCATTTGCGTTCCACTTTGAACATAAGCATTAATTAGCAGATAGTTTCGGCTAATTCCCATAATCGTAAAAATTCGAACAATAATAATAATTCTTAAAACTTTGCCCTCTCGAGTCGAGCCGAGTGTTTGTGTTTTAAACTTTGCCGCTGGTAAGATAGCCATCTCTTTTTTTCCCCTCAGATGAGAGGGCCAGATGCTATCTTTCCTGATCTATGGCGCTGGATGGCCAGGATTCCGGATTCGGGATTGGTTTGGCTTCGCTTTCGGCCCTCGGGCAGCTTGCCCGCTTTATTTGGCTTTCAACTTTTCGGGCCAACTCGCATTATACGCATAATAACGGTCAAATAATTATGGAGATTTTAACGTGCCCCACAGCACAATTGCATTGACAGGAAGTGGAAAATGGGGAAAAGCTGCTCTGCTCTTAGCAAAATGTTGATTATATAAATTTGGACGTAGTTTTAAGTGAAACAGTGAAACCGAAACCTAAACCGAAACCGAAACCCCTGCTCCTCGTCATAACTTAAGTCCGTTCCAAAGCAATTGCTACGTGCTCTGCGCAATGGAATTTTCTCCTTTCGCCCGTTTGCTTTTTTCCGCATTATTTTATTTTACGCTGTGGAGCAAACTTTAACTGCACCGGGCGAAAATAATTAATCTGTTTAGAGGCAAGAAAAATTGTAACAATAGCAGATTAATTTATAGTACGCTTTAACCTTTAAATTTCTATATGTTTTCAAGGTTTAAAGCCTATTTAAAATATAAAATGCAAACGAGGAAGCATTCCTAAAAGGTAAAAAAAATTTTTCTTTAAATCTTTCTCATTTTTACAAGTGCACATACAATATAGTACGTATGTGTGTACGTATGGCTTGGCTATTAAATTTCCAGTTCAATGATTAACGAAATTTATGTTTCGGCTTACGTATAACTAGGCGCTTCTGTGTGTGTGTGTGTGAGTGTCGTTGTGGTGGTGTGCGTGCGTGTGGGTGTGTGGTTGCGTGGATGTAAGTGAGTGCGTGACGCCTTGAAGGTGCCGCTAACGATGCCCCAAGCGGAATGCCGAGTTCATGGGCTACCAGCAAATGCGACTTGCCACTCCTCTAACTAAATTGCCCGAAGCCGATTTATCCCGAAAGCAATATCCTGCAGCAAATATGAGTTATAAATTGGATACATGGGAAAGGAGTTTAGTTTATTAGGATGTTGGAATTAAATTAAATTTTGCGATTCTCGATTAAAGCCGATACCATTTCCTTCATTCAATATGCGCATTGAATAGAAAACTGATTCGATACTCTGTACCTTAAATAGAGTTTTTTAAAGCCCCACGTTGGGCGCCAAATGTTTTATTATATATGTTTTAATACTCTGTAAGCCATCAGTATATATTTATTATTTAATCATCGTATCGGCACAGATAGTTCTCTTAGTTCTCGCCGCATAAACGATAAATGGGAGGTGCGTGCCTTGAAATGAGAGGAACGGAAAGGAAAGGAGGGCTCTGATGGGCAGACATCGGGACAGGACATGGAACGGGACTGGGACTGAGGACCTTCCTGGCTCGAAGGATGCGGCTAGAGATGCGTCGCGACGTGTCGGTGGCTCATTAAATATGGATGTCTTGTACGGAGCAGCTGCGTAGCGAGGTCCTGAGCCCAAGCCATTCAATTAAGGCGCATTTTGTTGCCTCTCTAATCTGTTTGAAATATTGACCATGCGCAAAATGGTGTCAGCCAGCCAGGCCCAAACTGAAACAGAAACTGAAGCTGAAACTGGAAAGGAAAGGAAAAGCTGCTCTCACAGGAGGAGTTGAGTTGAAGTGAAGTTTGGAGTGGATGCAGCAGCAGCGCCAAAGCAAATATGTTCAGGCATGCAAAATAATGAAGTTGAAGCGTAATTAATTTTCAGTTGGTGCTGTGCTAGTGCTTGGCTAGTGCCAAAATGGGTTCAAGATCCCCCCGAGGAACTAGTTCACACATTTAAGGCACACAAAATGCTGGGGGCACTTTTGTGCTTAAAGTGCTCGAACACACAGCATTTACCATGGCTAAATGAAATATTAATGGGCGGTCCATTCAGTTTTGAAATATTATTTATATTCAAAGCTGCCTGCCGCCTGCAAATAGCTATTTGGCATATCTTGGAGCTATTTGCACTTGTCTAATATTCAAAATTGAATCCATTTTAGTTTATAATCAACTCAGTTCTATTTGACGATGGTCTGCTTAATGAATTAAATTAAACGTTTCGGTTTCTTATTTGCTTGGCATGCATTTAAGCACAATTTATTTGCCATTCACAGCAATATATTGTTGTTTTTTGTTTTTTGTGAGCGATAATTATGCAAACTGAACATTAAATAAAGCTTAATATATCTTTCATAATTTTGATTTGCATTATTTATGAACTCTCATAAATGGATTTGCATGAACCAACCTGATGGGCGAAAGAAATAAAAAAAACCCTCAATAGTTGTTGCAAAATCATAAATAAGAAAAACAACAACAATATGTATTTGTTGCAACAGGAATTTATTGATTTATTTGTCATCATTTTTGCCGTATTATTTATAAACTCGCAGTTAAATTGTATGGAATTCGTTTTTAGTGAATTGTCAGCATGATGAAAACAGAAATGCATTTGAAGGAATTCCTTTTTGGGTAAATGCGCTAGTAAGGCATTTCTCAACACAATTTTTTGTGCAGCAGGTATTTTTGATCCTTTATCGAAGGACAACAAAGCATTGTAAAATATACGTTTATTGTAATGCCTTGGCCCCACGTTGGGCGCCAGATGTAATATAGCATTCATTTTAGGCGATAGAAGACTTCTTCAGCTCTAATTGAAAAACAAGCTTATTTTTGCCTTTGCAAAGTGCAAAGTTTCTCCGAGCAATCTGACTTTTGGTATGCGGATTAGCCCAATTTTCTCCGCTTTTCTCTGAGGGAAACTAGTCGTTTTCACCTGGATCGGTGGTGCGTGTGGGATGTCAAGCTGTTCAGTGGACAGAGGCTATAACCCGTTTAAATCTCAGTCCCCTTTCTGCCACGCCCCCCTTTCATCAGTGCTCCTCTTTTTTCGGTTTTGGGCCAGTTGACTTACTTTGTTCAATGCCAAACAAACAGCCAGGAGAGGAGGGACGAGGAGAGGGAAAAGCACAGAGAAAAGGAATTTTCTTGGCAGTAAGTTGAATGTTTTTGCTGCCGGACGGGGTCCAGTGCATTGTGTGTGCAACAAAAAAAAAAAAGAAAGGAAAAAAGCCTGGCGACTTCATATAGCAACTAAGAGAGAGTCTGGCCATATACTATGTCCAGTATATGTATTAGGCAAATTAGGGTGGACCAACAGATATAAAAGAGAAAAGAGAGAAGAATGGGTAATATATTAATAATAAGGAATTTACATATAGACAAACTCGAAATGTTTTCTCTTTTTTTAACCTACAAAAAAAACTTTTATTTATATCTTTTAAATCTTTTCCATTAATTTCTCCTATTGTCGTTACTTAAACAAGGACTTTTCAAAAAAAATATTCAAAATATTTAGGGCACACTTGTAAATGTTTTCTTTTTTTTAACCTCCAAAAAAACTTTTTTTTTATTTCAAAAACTTGAAATAAGTTAGGCAATTAATACCGCTTGTGTTAAAAATCGTAGCCACCCTTTGATATGTATATGAACGTATGTATATATATAAACTTTTACACAGATATATATATATATATGTGCTGGGTTGGGTGCACATAAAAAGCCGTTTTTCTATGTCAGCTGCATTTCGGTGTGTGTTACAGTTTGGCGATGCGATGCGATGAAGGGCAGAGGGCGGAGGGTGAGAGGCGGTGCAGGTCAGAGGTCGGGGTGGAGATTGAGGTGCTCCGTGACACCGACGACCCCCAGAAAATGCCGGGGAAATCCCCATCCCTCTCCTCCCACCGGCCAACCCACAAAACGGACGACAAACCGAATTCGTTGTCGTTGTCGCGATAGGAAAAGCTTTTTTCAATTGTTTCCGTTTCGAGGTCATGACAAATGCATTCTCTTTATTTCTTCTCTCCAGCTTGTTGTTTCTTTTTTTGTTATATCTCTTGCGCAGATTTTTGAGGCAAACAAGCGACAGGCGGCAATGAACTATAACCCCGACCCGAACGCCCCCCAATATGCCACGCCCACCCCGTGTATATGTATATGTACGCTATATGCTATATGTCACTTTTTGTCTTTAATGTCGAGACCTCAATAAAAATTGCTTACCTTTTTGAAGAGACAACGGAATAAAGAGGAAAACGGAGAAACAAAACCGAGGGAAAGCAGGTGAAAGCAAGGGGTCGTGGGTGGTGGGTAGAAAATGGGAGAATGGGATGAGATGAGATGACAACAATGCGTAATAAAACCAACAAGCGTGCAGCAAAAAGCAACAAACAATAACTCCCAACGGGCTCCATTAAAAAGTCGACAGCCGAATGCCCTCGAAAGACTAGGCTAAAAAAGGCAAGAAGTCGATGTATTAGATGATATACAACTCTGAACCATTAACAGAAAAAATCCAAAAATAATATTACTGACTTGATGGATTTTTAATGAATTATTAGCTTTGTAATTTAATTCTAAAGGTAAAATCTTTTTATAAAGTGAAAGGAAAATATGTTTTTTTTCCTTGGAAGAAAAACAGCAATGAAGACACAAAGTTTTCCCCCTTTTTCATTTTGCATGCGATAAGTATGCAACGAAAACTTAAACTCGGCCAAATGAAGCGACAAGGCAAGTGATTTGCATTTGCATTTGGACCCTCAGCCATCGATGATGGGCATCAAAGCACGTCCTTTCGGGTGTCTGGAAATCAAAGAGTTCCTCCCCTCCGCAATCGCCGCTGTCGATGAGTCGGAAAGTTTCCCCCAAATCATTCAGCTGCCCTCCTGCATTTTTGTTCAGCTTCACGGCAAGAAACTA